ACTTACTGATACATTGTCTTCCAAAACTAGTGTTAAACTACATATATAAGTACTTACTGATACATTGTCTTCCAAAACTAGTGTTAAACTACATATATAAGTACTTAATGATACATTCTCTTCCAAAAACTAGTGTTAAACTACATATATAAGTACTTACTGATACATTCTCTTCCAAAACTAGTGTTAAACTACATATATAAGTACTTACTGATACATTCTCTTCCAAAAACTAGTGTTAAACTACGTATATAAGTACTTAGTGATACATTCTCTTCCAAAACTAGTGTTAAACTACATATATAAGTACTTAATGATACATTCTCTTCCAAAACTAGTGTTAAACTACGTATATAAGATGTAGTTTAACACTAGTTTTGGAAGAGAATGTATCAGTAAGTAATATAAGGAAGAGAATGTATCAGTAAGTACTTATATATGTAGTTTAACACTAGTTTTCTTATATGTAGTTTAACACTAGTTTTGGAAGAGAATGTATCAGTAAGTATTTAGTTTTGAAGTAAGATTTTATTCATGTTTTGTTGAAAATCAACTTTCTAGTGGTTCGTTGTGGATTTGATTACAACTGTCCTGGAAATCAGATCTGTCTTGATAAAGATACGTGTGGTTGTCCGTCCCAGTATCAGAGAATTGGAGACTACTGTATATGTAAGCTCTTTCAGTATCACATTATATGTAGGTTTTATTTAACAGTTTCCTTTCGTACTCTGACGAGAATATTTCCAGCTTTTCGGTTTATGTTTTTTTTTTACTTACTAATTTTTCTTTTCTCTTGTAGTTTAAAACAAAGTTAGTAGGTGAAGTATATCAGTGTTCTTTGAGTCATATTTACTAAGAGAAAAACTCTTTCTAACAGTGATTAGTCAGAACTGCACCACTACGAACCCTTGTCCAACCAAAGAAGAGTGCGTCTATGTTGGACCCCAGGTTGGGTTCTGTGTCTGCCCGAGGGGATTTAAACTTATGCCTAATGGAATTTGTAATGGTAAGAGCAGCCATGTGTACTGAAGTAGCTATTTAGTGATAGTTTAAAACATCGCAAGGATTATTGTGTTACTGTACTAGGAGAATATGCCGAAAAATTATGAAATAACTTGTGTTCATTATATTTAAAATAATCAATATGTAAAACAATGAATAAACAGAAGTTTAGTAAAACTGGCTAAAAATTATGTGATAATTTAATTAAGAACATTAGCTTGTGAGTGGTAATTTATTACTGCTAACACTTTAAATCATTAAATTATACATGAGTATCATGGAATTTTTTTATTGTTGATTTTCTCTTTTAAGTTTTTATTTTAATATAAGCACTATGTTTCTTAGTAAATACCATGTACAACTTAGATATTACTTCATAACTATTAACATTATAGGTAGTAATAGTGTTTTGGATTAACCACAATAGATGAATGTGGAAACCAGTAACGGAAACTGAGGATGTCTTCTTTACTTCCGTACAGATATCAATGAATGTGAACCACTATCACCTTGTGCCAGACAAGCCATCTGCACAAACCTCCCTGGCACGTATCGCTGCACTTGTCCAGTTGGCACCATTGGAGACCCCTATCTTGGTCAATGTAAGCATATGGCAGCGATCTTTTTATGAAATAGTAATTTAAAAGTACTCTATTTGCATCGTCTTTATTTCCCTTAAGTTAGCTGTACTATGAAGATGTATAAACTCTGTCAAACTGGACATCCTGTAAATGCAAATGACCTTCTTGTTGCTCACATTTAGATCTATAATTTCCAGGTATCACAATTGACAAGAGGTGTGAGACTGACAATGAATGCTCATCAGACAAAGAATGTGATCTTGGCAGTGGAGAATGTATCAGTAAGTACTTATATCAAGAATATCAGGAAAAGTAAGAATAATCAATTCTAAAGACAGTAAGCAAAAAAAGATAAAAGTCTTCTTAAACTGTGGAAAATATTTTGCATTTTTCTTTAGATAAAACAGAGAAGCATTTATTTCAACTCCAATTTTTTTACTAGTACCTTCTTGTACAGTCAGGGATTATTACTTATTTTGATAATATAGTGTTTAGATATGATAGAATATGTACTTTTGTTATCCACCATAATGTTGCATCCAATAAGCTGAGCTGACCATGAAGGGTTTGTTTAGATAAAACAGAGAAGCATTTATTTAACTCCATTTTTTTACTAGTACCTTCTTGTACAGTCAGGGATTATTACTTATTTTGATAATATAGTGTTTAGATATGATAAAGTATGTACTTTTGTTATCCACCATAATGTTACATCCAATAAGCTGAGCTGACCGTGAAGGGTTTGTTTGCAGATGTGAATGAATGTATTGAAAATCGACCTCTTCCTTGTGCCCGTGATGAATACTGTCGAAACGTTCCTGGTACTTACGAGTGTCGCTGTCCAGAAGGATTCCACGGTGACCCTTACATCACAGATTGCTTAAAGAGAACTATTGAAGGAGAATGTAAGTCAGACAATGACTGTGCTTATGACGAGGCCTGTGATATTCTTCAAGCCACCTGTTACAGTAAGTAAAGTACTATGAATTTACGTTAAATTCGGCTTGATGTCTCTAATTATATACAATTTGTAAATTGTTAAAAAAAAGGTTATACAGATACTTTATTCTGTAATTTTTCTTTAGACCCATGTTATGAAGGTCAACCTTGTGGACAAAATGCTATCTGTAGAACAGAAAACCACCAACCTATTTGTTCATGCCCCCCTGGATACTCAGGAAATTCACGAGCTTACTGCTTCAAAGGTTGGTTTATCTTTTGATTCCATACCTACAGTAGTTAAAACATTATTACAAAGTTAATTTTTTTATACATGATTTGTTCCTCAGCTATGTTTAGTTTAAACAAAATGTAACTAAATTATTTTATTCTAAGAATTTCATTTAAACCAAAAACTCCTCAACAACAGTAATCTGAATACTTTCTTAAAACTTCCTTACCATAAAGAGAAATAATGGTTCCCATAAATGATATTATTTCAACCGTACATTGCTTTCATAGATCCTGTTTACACAAGTGCAGTTAAGGACTTTAATGTTTTACTGAAACTTTTAAACACTCTAACTTGAATCTAACAAGTGTATAAAAGGATTTTAAACATCGTGAATAAGAGAGCTATGTTTTATAAACACCCGTGAAGCTTTAGACACCACACTGGACCATTTAGACATAATTAACATATTACATGATA